GAACATTGTCTCCAATATTCGCAGGACAACCATTCTTGCTTCAACCTGAATCGATGTGGAAGAAGTTTCCTCTAACCTTGCAATAAACATTAATGAATGTTTGATGATTTCGTTCACGTTTATGATACTTTTAATTTGCTGAGGCATTTGATCGAAGCACCTAATACCAACAACTCCAATAATAAGTAACCCGTTCCCATGTACCCACACTACCTTTCATGTTGTCCTTTCCCAGAATTCAAGGCGACATCTTTTAATTTCCCCGTTCTCGGCTTATCCCCTATCAATGTACACCCTGGGACCATCTTCGTCATAGAAATCGTTTAGCAATTTTTAATATGGTCCCCACTGCCACATCATCAAGTTTAGCAATTAGATCATCTAACAATTTATAACCACCTTCATCCCCTTGTCTTTAGCAATTTCTATTGATGGAGTTCTACACCAGTATCAGGCATTGAGTGGGCAGAAGGTCAATTTGCCTAAATCTGCAGTTTGTTTTAGCAGGAATGTTAAGGATGAGGAATGGAAAGCTATGGGAAGGATTTTGAGAGTTGGTTCGATGGGGGTTAATGATCTGTCCTATCTCGCCTTCAGGGTTGGAAGCGAAGATGTCTTTCATGGGCTGCAAAGGAGGTTTTAATTAAATCGATAGCCAATGCCTTACCAATTCTTGGTATGTCATGCTTTATATTTCCCTTGACTTTATGTCGTACACTCGATCGTCATCTGACTAGGTTTTGGTGGGGGGTACAACATGGGGAGCGTCGTATTCATTGGGTAGCCAGGAAATCTTTATGCCTTAGTAAACATGAGGGTGAATTGGGTTTAAGGAGGTTAGAGGAATTAAATCATGTTTTTTTGGGTAAATTGGCATGGCGGATATGGAAATATCCAGATTCTTTGTTGGCTCGGCTTTATAAAGGGAGATATTAAGTAAGGGCCTTCCTTCGTGGGGCTGGAGGGGTGTTCTACATGGTAGGGATGTTCTAAATTTGTTGGTTCTGCTTTTGATGTGCTCGCTGATAATTGGGTACCTACTATACATCTGCAGCCACCTAAATCGCGGGCTGGGATTGTGGGAATTCAGGGTTCGGTGGCGTCTCGGATTCATCCTGGGCAAGCAAGATGGTGTGTGGACTGCTTAAGAGAGATGTTTGAGGATACTATTATGAGGGAAATTTGGCTACTCCTTTGCCGATCTCGTCGATTCCGGATAGACTGATTTGAATAGGTGATCAATCTGGAGAATACACGGTGAAGTCGAGGTATCATATGGTCGTGGATCAGAGGAGGAAACGAGAGTTAGTGGTGCGGTCTTGCAAATTTTTGTGGGATACGAGGTTATGGATCTACATATGGGAAGCCCCAATCCTTCTAAAGTTGCGATATTTCTTATGGCAGCTCGTTCAGCGTGTCTTATCGACGGGTGAGGCATTGCTAATCAAGGGGTGGGAGGGGTTGCTTAGTGTACGGTGTGTGGGGAGGAAGAGGAAACTCTTGAGCACCTCTTTTTCTTATGCTGGATTGCTCGATGGTTGTGGGAGGGACCGGGGGGCCAAGGGGTGTGTGTGGATTTGCCGCTATATGGGCACCTTATGGAGGAGGCTACTTGAGGCAGAGGGCTTGGACCGCGGCGGTTGATGAGAGTCATGGTCTTGTTTTGGCGGATTTGGCGGTGTAGGAATGAGTGGTTTTTTAGCCCACGCAGTACACTCTTTCGGTGTTATTATGTCAGTTTCGTTTGCAGGTGGCGGAGTGGGATGCGTTGCCTCATACTCCCATTTAATCGGGCTCACGAATGGTTGGTGGTGGTCTGCGTGATGGTGGTCGGGGTGGTGGGGTTCCTTCTGTACCTGGTGGTTTGGTCATGTATGTCGATGGGGCAACTTCTTGGGGGTCTCACGGGGCAGGTGGATGGGTCTTGCAGGATGAGTGGGGTGCGACGGTGGCAACAACGATAGCGTTGTATGAGGGTGCATTTGATACATTTCTAATTGAGTTTCTCTCCTTACAGGAAGCAATGCAGTGGTGTTTGGATAGGGGTTTGCAATCGATGGTGTTTGCTTCTGATGTAAAGGTTGTGGTTGACCGGCTCCGAGAGGATCAATGGAATCATGTTGGTGGGAGAGCAGTCCTTGGTCTTGGCCTTGAGGAGGGATTTTGATCATTATATATTAGATTGATTGGGCGTCAGTGTAACAGGGTTGTCCATTTGATGGCACGTAAAGCCCTTTCGTTGCTCCCTTCTTTAATTGGGTTCGAATTTGTTTCCTGGTTGTTTTCAACCTCTTGAATCTTGTGTATCAAGCTGTTTATTCGGTAATACGAATGATCTTTTTGCTAAAAGAAGGTCTCATTTGTCTAGGTGACATTGCTAGTGGACTTCTAATTTAGCAAACATCCACACATCCCTAACAATTGCTAACCAGTTTGCCACATAAACTCCACATCACCTTAACAATTGCTAATTGCAAGGAATGGAGATGCTCTAAGATCCACATGGAGTAATTTAGAAGCTCGTTCAAGTGGTGAGGAGGACCCCTCTCCCAGTAATCTCTGGTGACCAATGGTAGCATTCGTTTTTCTACCATACACATCACCCGCTCGAACGTCCTCAACCAATGATGCAGCCGACGTTGAAGTTATAGTGCTTTTCATACGGAACCAGTAGCCACCTCTCTTCTTTCCAAGGTTGTCAAACCGGTTTATGCCGGTTTAGCAAGTGGAATGGTTCGACCGGTGGCACATACCGGCTTGTGCTGGTTCATGCCAGTCAATATTACAAATAAAATTATAAATACTCATATTTAAACATGACGTTTAACGTCAATACCTAAACATTTATACTTGAATCCAACAAATAACATCAATATTTAACTTTTATACTCATAAGATAAATAATAAAATAATTTTTATCAATTAAATTCACTAAAATAAGGTCAATTTATTCGTAGATTCATATATCGATCATATTGGTCATACCGTTGGTGTCACACCGGTTTTATGACTGATACCGGGTGAACCAAGTTCAACTGGTGGCACGCCGGCCGGCGTGACAACCATGACTTCTTTGTTCTTTCCCTTTTACGATTTGAATTAAATGCTAAAAATAATTACTATAAATAACATTTCCACTAGAACCATTATGATAATAAAACAATCAAAATTCTTTCTTAAATTCTGTCTCTTTGAATTAACACTTGGTGCTTTATCTATATTCTTCCTTCGTCAGAAAAAACAAATCACTTCATTCATCTCTGTGATAAACAGTACCGTACGTGATATTTATTTGAATTTCAACAGACGAATATATTTCGTTGACAAAAAGAATAAAATGCAAGTGAAATGGGGAAATTGGGCTGACGGTTAAGACTTAAGATCATAGCTCAGCTGTCTGCATTCTGCAATTGCGGTACTGGTCGTGAAGTGATCTATACTGTCAAATATTAGAGCATCAAATTTGGTTCCAAACAATTCTCTATTTCATTTTTTTCGTTGGACATGAGGGGGGAAATGTATATTTGGATTTTGGACGATGGGGCTCTTTCCCGAATAAAACCTGGACTGGACTTGCTTGTGAATCTAGCCTAAGCCCAGGGCCCAAGGCCCATGAGAATCACAGACGACCGTGATGAATGATGAAGTCAAGCAAGTATATCAAGGCAGTCTAAGGAGGGATAAAAAGAAAATCATACATACAGATACAGGCATACAACAACTTCATTCCTCTCCTTTCACTCGATAATACCACAAATGAAACAACACTTTAAGATGTTTTTAGTAGGGATGATAATTTTGGACTATCATGTTTTACACGATTTGATTGATTTGTTTTGGGGTGGGGTGGGTATAGGCAGGGCAGGTATGGGTATTAATCTCGACTTGTTCTATCATCTCCATTCTCGACTAAATTTTGTTTAAATTACATGTAATTGTACTCAAACTACTCAGGATTGTACTTTTACTATCTCATATTTTAGTTATAACAAAGTTGTAAACATGTGAGAATCTCGATTTCTCGAATAATTGTATTACATTTATCGTAATAGCTTTTGTTTCTCGAGTATTTAATGAAACAAATACATATTTCTAATGTTTTTCTTTCGAATACATACCCATCTCACCGGTCTGCCCTCGACCCCCACCACATGATAAGTTATCCGACCTAAACTAGACATGCCACGAGACGGATACGTATATCGAGATATCCACCCTCCCCGAACATGTCCATTGCCATTTCCATCTTTAAAGTCTATCTACACAAAGCTTGTTAAAATTCTTTTGGCTCGAGCATTTCGATTCAAGCTCGCAAAAACTAGAACAAAGAGCCGTTAACATCACAGACAACAAGCCCAACAGAGCGCTCTCTCTAGCCGATGAACGCACACTTTCTCCATTAGTATGTTTTTTCCAGAGTACCAATTTTCCAAATTGGACACTTCATTTTTGAATCTCGACTCGATGATGAGATAGTAAGAACCACATAACTTCTAATCAACTACATATAAACAGACTCCAAATCATCGCAACAAAACAATTCGTTAACGATATCATATTCATATCAACTAGTTTAAACCGTAACAAAATTCAACAATGAGGTTGTACAATTTTTTTTTTATCCAATCATCAAAATTGTTTTTTTTCCCCAAAAAAACTCCAACTACTCATTTACTCTTCTGCACACCCACCACCACCCTCATTAATTGACTACCATCTTCTGCAGCAAATTAATGGCCCGGTTTTACGAACCCAACGCACCTCCATTAAAAGCTTGATTTCTGAATCTTTCTTTCCCTTCCCTCTCTGGTCAATTTTTTTCATTAAATGCCTCTCCCCCACCTCTATTAATTCTTCTCCCTCTCTCTCTCTCCCTCTCTCTCTTCCCGCGCCAGAGAAAAGAAAGAAAAGAAAAAAAGAAATTCCAACACCCGCCCGCCGCCGTAGAAACCCCCACCGCTTTCAACGACGACGGCGAATTGTAACCTTCACGTCGCATTTCACCTCATGCTGTGGCTGAATCTGTCCGGAGAAATTAGGGCCTCCGGATCCCCACACCTCAGCCGGCTCGACGAGAACACCGACGACGGTCTCAGGAACATCGGACTCGTCATGGACTTGCTCCGCCTCGAAGAACCGCCGCCGCCGTGGTGGTGGTGGTGAGCGGGGAATCGCTCCGAGAGGGGGAAGAAGCCGCCTCCGCCTCCAGATCTCCGTCGGAAGAAGGGCGATTTGATCCCCGATCTGTAGTAGTACCTGAACGACGAGAACAATCTATGCTTGGAAGAATTCGACAGGTACGATCCGAACGGGGACGGCCGCTTGCTCCACGCCGATGATCTCCTGCTCGATCTCCACGGCGACACCGTCGCCGGCTCCGTCACCAGCATCCTCTCCGACCGCTCGAATCCGAACGAGTAGGACCGCTTCAGCCGGATGAAATTGTTGCTACTGCTGCTTCCTCCTCCTCCTCCGTCGACGGCGTCGCCTCTGTCTTCCAAATTGCAATCCCTAATTCCTTCCTCCTCAGCGCACGGCGTGATCTCGGACAGCTGCCGCGGCGGTGGAGATTCTCTCATTCTTCCCGCCGGCTCCGTACGACTGGCTACGGTAGTTGGAGAACTAATAATTGTATCGTCGTTGTTGTTGTTGTGATTGCGGAGAAGGAAGAGATTCGTATCGTCGACGAGGCTGGGCCGAATTCGCGCCGCCATGAGCGGCACGAATTCCGGAGGCCGGAGGAAAATCCTGGCGCGGCAGAGCGGGCAGTTGGCGTGAGACCTAAGCCAGATGTCGATGCAATCGACGTGGAAGGCGTGGGAACAGACGGGAAGCTTGCGGACGTAATCTCCGTCTTCGAATTCCAGCAGGCAGACGGCGCAGTCTCTGCACGACGCGGCGGCGGCGGTAGGGGAGGGCAATTTACGGAAGCTGCTGCCGCTGCTGTAGAGGGAGATTGGAATCGTCTTGATCACCGACTCGTCGAGACCGTAGGGAGAGGCGCCGGCGTAGATGTGGTGGAATCCGTCGGGGGAGTCGAAGAGCGGCGGGGGCGAGTCGAGGTAATCGCCGGCCCCGTTGGTGGACGGCGGGGAATTCGGGAGGTAGGATCTCCGTCGGCGGCCGCGCCTGCGGCGGTAGCGGCGGAGGAAGAGGAGGAGGTAGCGGGAAATGAGGCGGGAGTAGGTGATCAACAGGAGAGCCGTGGCCACCACGACGACCATTGCGATCAGCGGCGGGCTCAAGTCAACGGTCAACTTCGACGAGTACGGAGCGGAAGACGAAGAAGAAGAAGACGGCAACGAAGAAGCAGCTCCCCAGTCCGGCGGCAGAGAGGAGGAGGACGACGATTGTTCCGAGGAAGACGCGACAGGGGAGGAGGCGGAGGGGGACGACGCTCGGTGGATGTGGTGGTGATGGCCGTGGGGGGAAGGGGCGGCGGCGGGGGCGGCGGTGGTGGACCGGCCGATGGTGGTCATCGTTTCCGCTACCGCTTGGCGGTGGCGGGGAGAGGAGATTTGATCAATCAAAACTCTTTTTTTTTTTTTTTTGTTTGGATTTCTATGGTGGCTGGGGAAAGGGAAGGTGGTCGCCAGCCAGATTAGAAGAAGGGGGGGAAAGGGAGGTTGGAAGGACACGTCAACGTTGATGAATTTAAGGCGTCTTTATGTGGAGTTTTATAATCATGTGCGGACCGTAACAGTGAATCTGGAAGAGAGGAAAAAAAAGAGTACACTAATTTGGGTTTCAGCTTTCACACTCGGGGAATGGGGATGGGGGATATTTGGAGGGACACGTGGCATGGTGATGTTCGAGGGAACAAGTTCGCTGGAGGTGGAGCGGAGTGCAGGGGAAAACGGAGATAAAGGAAGGAGGAAGTGGGGGCCCGTAAGTGATGATGGATTTCCGACTCGGACCACTTTCCATGGGCTTTTTGGTGGACTTACCACCAGTTACTACCTTCCTCAATCTTCATTCTTACTCCGTTTTAATATGGCAGAAAGGAATGCATTTCACCTAATAAAACTTGTGATTTAGGAATTACAGTAGTTTAACTCGATTGGGTATTTTGATCAATTTGTCTTGACGTGTATGAGTATTGAGTTGGATTCAAATAATCCAAAATAATAATAATTTGTTTAATTTGAGTTGAGTCGGGTCCAACACCCAAATGAGCCCATTTGAGTATAAAGAGTGTACTCAACAAATACAATGAACAGTAACGAATAGAAATTCTGCCATGAGTAATGGTGACATCTTGTTTGGATAGAAGGATTTGGATTTTCAAATACTAAATAATTTGTTTGGATATTAATTACATATGATATTTGGATTTGTACCACATTCATGGTGTGTTTTCGAAATATATGTTTAGTGTATTACTTATCAATTTCAAATACATATCAACAACTAAGTGTCTTGTGATTTGAAATTCCTCAAAACAACAGACTGGTATTGTTTGTCAAACTTTAAAAGTTCAGGTACTATAATATAAGGAATGAATATAAAGTATTAAATTGTAATTCTGTCACCAAAATTTTTTGGGCCTCTTTGTACAAAATTTATAAGTTTAGGTACTAAATTATAAACAAAATAAATTTTTGACCGTCAAATTGTAGTTTGGGTATAATTCGGGCCTAAATAAGGTATTAATCCAATTTAAAATAAAAAAGTATAGAACATGAAATATAAACACATGAAATATAAACACATGATTTATATCCAAACATGAAATATAAACACAATTGAACATCTAAAAAACATTTTGAAGTACATGGATTTCAAATACAAGTATTTAAAACACATTCATTTCAAATACATTATATTTAAGATACATGGGTGTGTTTGGATAGAATGATTTGGATTTGATATTTGTGATTTTTCTAAATGTCAAATCATTTGTTTGGATATAAATCACATTTTGGTATTTGAATTTGTGCCAAATTCATGGGGTGATTTCCAAATGCATGTCTAGTGTATTACTTGTCAACTTCAAATACATTTCAACCACTAGTGATTTGAAATACCTCCTAACAAAAGATTGGATATATTTGTAAAATTTTAAAAAGTTTAGTTGCTATAGTGTGAGGGAAAAGATATAAATGATCAATTAAATTAAGGGGTTTCAAAAGCTTTATCCATTCTCTTTAAGAACACATCTTCAAGTTTTCTATCAATTAGACGAGTGGAGATTTTAGGGGTCTTTTGGAAGTTATGATTATATATGAATGATTATTTGAATTCATGTATTCTGGAGAATCTATCGTTTTTTTGTCTCGAAACTTTGTTCAATACATGGATTTGAGTTGGCTTTCAAATCTCATATCATCAACAATCACTCATTTTAAATCTCAATAAATAGGTGAGATTCTTCCTTTGAGATTGTGGGCTTTAGCTCATAAAGTGATTTTTTTTTTCTTTAAAAATTTTAAATTGCCACAAACAAACAAGACATTCTTTCAATCATCTAATTCTTACAATCTTTGTATTTAGTATTTACAATAGATGTATTCATCAAATACACATATTTGAAGAATCTCAACTTCCAATCGACCTCTACATGTATTTCAAATGCTAGTATTTCAAATACATGCATTTTAATTACATTTATTTAAAATACTTTACATTTGAAATACACCTATTCAAACAAACTCATATTTAATTTCCAAAACGCACCCTTATAATGTGCGCAAGTCAGAATTCTATTAGGGTGCGTTTGGATAAGTGTATTTTAAATGTAAAGTATTTGAAATACTAGCATTTGAAATGGATGTATTTGAAATATTAGCATTTGAAATACATGTAATTCAAATTCGTTGTTTGGATACTTATTTGTAATTTGTTTGTATTTTGTATTTTATGATTTTCAATTTCAATTTTTAAATTTCTGGTCACTTACTACAAATTTTGGTAAATTACAGTTTGGTACCCAAATTTATTTTTTCTTGCAATTTAGTACTTAAACTTTTAAAATTTTACAAAAAGGTCCTGAAATTTTGATGGTAAAATTACATTTTGGTACCTTTATATGTTTTGCCTCACACTATAATACCTAAACTTTTCATATTTTACAAATAGGTCCATTCTTTTGTTAGGAGGTATTTCAAATCACTAGTTGTTGAAATGTATTTGGAGTTGACAAAAAATACACTAGACATGTATTTGAAAATCACCCCATGAATTTGACACAAATCCAAATACCAAATGAATTAGTATCCAAACACATGATTTGGTATTTAGAAATTCAAATCACAAATACCAAATCCAAATCATTGTATCCAAACGCACCCTTACAGAACAAGTGTAAAGGACTGCCTAATAATTCTTGGTCTATAGAAGAGCTTAATTAATTATCCCATACAGATTAAGAAGCAAGAGAGAAGATATTGAGACTGCTAAATTGGCCCCATCTTCCATAATCCATACAACGTAACTTCATCTCCAAAATAAATTCCGATTGCAACAGAGCCAAACCAATTTTCCTGCTCCGTAAACGCGCGCCTCCATCTCAACCGCTCCAACCTCCGCGCCATCTCTGCCATCCGCCGAGACTTTGGATTCAACAACAACACCTCTTTAGATTTCCGGGAGACAACCCTTTCCAACGGCGGTGATTTCCGGGAGAATTCCCATCGTGGAAGACCGGAGCGGTTACGGGAAGAGAAACCGTCCGGGGGTCCTTAGCCAGTTTAGATTTTCAACCCGCCCACTAATGTCGAGCGTCTCTCTCGCTCGGAGAAGGTCTGTCCAGGGTGAGCGATTGCGGAGCGCTCTATGAGTTCCGTCCAAGGGCGGCGTTGGCCGAAACCCTGGGCGGCGGAGGAAGAGCGGCGGGAGATGAAGTTGCGCACGGCCGGCGTCGCGATTGGAGGCTGGGTTTCGGGCTAGGACGTGAGGTTCGTCACCGGAGTGGCAAAACGGCCGTTTTTTCTAACGGTAGCAACCCTCAAGAGATCCGCCAGTTACAATTCCAGGGAAGTGCGGTGGTTACGCTACACTAGCGGCGGTTCAGATATGTAGTCCCTCTCCTCTTTATTCTTATTATTTCTCTAGTTCCTTTTATAATTATCCTCCCAATTTATATTTTTCAATTATTCTTTCCATACTTTCCTTCTTAATTTCATTATTTATTTATTTATTTCCATTAATATAGTTTCAAACTCTTTTACTTTTCCTTTCCTTAACTGTTCGTATATAGCAACTTTTCATTAACTATACGGTAAAAAAAAATTAGTAATTGTTATTCTTTTGACATTGTGAGCTTTGGATTCGGAGTATCCGACTAAGCCTCAATGGCTTGTTTAAGTCCATTCGGTGAAGCTTAGTTGTCCTACAGTATGGGCGCTTGTGTGTTTGTTTGTTTTGCAGGGGCACCTAGTTTTCCCTCGACCATACAAATCCATTTTAAGCTTCTCAGTGAAAGTTGGCACGGGCCCACAATTGTTGGCGGTTCTGCATGCACATGGCAATGGGAATGGATACTCTGCTTTTGCTATCGGCAAGGATGACCTATCCTCTGGCTTTGGCGCGTGTTGTATACCCGCTTGTATCCTTTGTTGCATTTCTTAGGATACTGACAGAGCTGTCCATTTAGTGGCTAAAAAGGCTCTTTTATCGGTGGGTTGATTAGCTATCAACCGCCGCATTTAGTTATTTCATTTTCAACTTATTTGTAAGCATACTACATTGTACACCTATCTTTATTTTTATACACCTATCTATGACAAAAAAAAAAAGACCACTTCAAGTTCAAGGCTCAAGCTGGACATTGAAATTTGAGACGGAGCAACCTACTCTACACCGTCCGTTACTGCGTTACACACAATCCCAAGTTCACCAAATAAGAACCTGCACAAACCATTGATTACAAAATGAAATCGAGGGTAACATTATCAAATCCCCTTTGCAAGTTGCAACTTATCATAATAACCATGTGAGCAAAGCATGATATATACAGAAATGCAAGTTACATATAATGATTAAGCATAATGATCATTCATAACACATGGATTTCTAATATTCTACAAATGATTTAGTAAGCACTTTGAACTTAATTCAATATTAACCGACAAGACGATTTTTGGAGCGATATGCAAGAGTTTTTTGTAAGAACTTCGAAGTTAAACATGCTCAGTGTAAAGATGAGCGGCAACCTAAGAAGTTATTATGATGCATCCTAAAAGTAAATGATATTAGACTAGAGAGCTACTCATCAGTGCTATTG